TGCGCAGGCCCCGCGCGAACCCAGGCAGCCTCGCCCAGGTGTGACGACGTCCAGACCTGGCCCCCTCCCTCTTCCAGGCCGCCTCTCCCAAGAGTGGCTGTCAGCCTGCGTGGCCGCGTTCAGGCAGCCCACCATCCCCTGCCCCACGGCGCTCACCTGCCAGCCTGGCCCGTGGAGGGTATGGACCTTTGACACTAGTGTGTGCTTGCCTGGGCCTTCTAGTTGAGATGCTTCACACAGGCTGCCTCCTGAATCACAGCCCTGCCCAGGTGGCACCCTGAGGTAGAGGTTGTATGCATGTAGGCTGTCCGCTCCAGGTCTGAGGCTAGACTCCAGGGCCCAACACAGAGGTGAGAGGTGGCTGCAGGGAGCTGAAGGTAGAAGGCTAGACCAGTGGATCCACTGTACAGGTGAAGGTCCTTGGACGTGGAGCTCCAGGTGTGAGGTTAGGCTGTGTGGAGGTGACATAGGGAAGATAGAGCTGTAACTCCAAAGCTAGATCCAGGATCCTTGTGGAGGTGAGAGATATGAAGGCAGGACTCAGTCTAAGGCCAGACTCTGAGTCCATTACAGATGTGACCTCTGCAGGCCGTCCTCCCATCTCAGGGACTCAGGGACCCACTGCTAGTCTGGGGGCAAAGCAGCTAGGGTGTTGCAGGGCTGGCCTGGTTCTTGGGAGAGGACCATAGGCCCCTCCCAGGCAGTGTCTGTGGAGATTTGGGTGGCACCTGGGCAGGTGCAGTTTAGCCGGGGTGTGGGAAAAAGAGGTCCCTCTGTGTCCAGGAGCACCCATGGGTGTTGCTTCTGAGGTTGGTGGAGGAAGCTGGGCAGTGCTTCCCAAGGATGGCTAGTGGAGTGCCCTGGGGAGGGCTCTGAAGTGATGCCTGACCGTCCTCCTTGTCCCCTGCTCTTCTCTCATTGTACCCCAGCCTACTTCTGGGATTTTCCCAAGAGCAGCCTGTGGCAGGACTTTGTCTCTCCTCTGCTAGGACTGTGGAGGTTGGGGAGGAACCTGGCCCATGAGTGACTGGCTTACATCCCACGGGAAGTTTTTTCCAGGCAGTCCTCACAGTTGTGTCCCTTTGCCTGTGTTGTCTCATCTGCCCCACCCTACCTGTGGGGCCCAGCAGGCCTACTGCCCCCAGCCCTGCCCTGGCTCTGAATGTGCTGGCACAGGCTGCTTGCTGCTCCTCTGGGCCACCCCTCTCCGTTCTTCTTACACTTAACTGTCTTCTTGCCGGGGTGGGAGACATTGCCTGGGCCCCTCACACTGTCTTAGTTCAGTGCTCACTGCCTTTGAGGCCCAGGGCTGTCTTCCCTTCTGGTGGCTCCTGTCTCCCAGAGCACCCATCCAGCTGTCCCTGCCTGGCATGGCTTTGGGGCTCTGAGGAGGCTATGCAGCTGGGGATGAGAGAGGGAGATCCTGGCTCGGCTGTGGGCCTGCACAGTGCTGTACCAGCTCACAAAGCCACTGCCCACCTGAGCCCCAGGCTACCCCTCATGAGGGCAGGGCAGAGATGGGGGAGGGCAGTGCCATCCTCTGGATGACAGGATGCACTCAGCACCCTCCAGGATGGTCACAGTGCCAGTCCCTGGCTGCAGCCTCTTAATAGGGATTGCAGCATCTGTGGTGATGTCCCCAGGGCTCCACAGTGATGTGGAGACAGGAATGGCCCCCCACTGCTCAATAGGACTGGACTGGTAAACAGCTCTGGCAGAGCGGCCCACTGTAATGGGCTCCTGAGCCCTACTATGGGATGCTGGTACCTTACTGTGCCCCGGGCCTCTCCTACTGAGTGGGATGGTGGCTATCCAGGGGGACAGTGCCAACTTGCAACTCTCCCACAGTCTGCAACTTCATGTCCCACGAGAAGTGCCTGCGGCACGTGAAGACTGCATGTGCCGGTGTGGCGCCCAGCCTGGTGCGGGTGAGTGCTGTGGGCACATGTGTTGGCTCCAGGCCATGGTGACCCCTGGCTGACCTTCGGCTTAGTCACACCACAGCTGGGGAGCTAAGGGCAGAGTCCTGCTCGGAGATGAAGTGGAAGGAGCTGTTGATGGGCTCCCAGAGGGAGCTGGACTGAGAAAAGCCAGTCCCGCCCGAAGGGCACACGAACTGAGTGCTGGAGTCTGGAAATGAGGAAGCTCAAGAAGCACAACTGGCTTCGACAGGGAGCTGGGTGTGGCTGCAAAGGGCGGTATGAGGGGTCCTGGGGGATCGGTCTGTGTCCACTGTACCCTGCAGTGCCCAGTTGTGACACTGACCAGCTTTGTAAGAGGTCACCACTGGGAGAAGCTAACAAAGCGCAAAAGCTCTCTGCAGTTTCTTACAAATGCAGGTGGACATGCAGCTAATATGACAGGCATACACAGGCTGGTTTTGGCCATGGTCTTCCCTCCATGGAGTCCTCAGTGGCGCAGCGACATGCCTGGCTGGGTCTTGGCAGGGCATGGGGCTTCCCTTCTGTGGGTGACAGCAGGTTGGGCGGGGCTGGGGGTGCCCCCCCACCTCACTCTCCACCCTCTCCCTCCTGTGCTGGGGAGGGGCTGGAGAGGACTGGCTGTGCGTGCACTTGAGGGGAGCCCTCCAGCTGCGGATGTGTTTGGCTTGGTGTCTGCCCCATGATGGTGGGGGACAACCCAGTTACAGGCACAAGTGCCGAAGGCCAGAGGATGTGGGTCCTGTGTCCCCTGTACTCTCAGGCTACTGTGCTCACCATGGGGCCCCTCGTTTGGTTTTCCTGAGGCTGCAGTTTTAACTTCATTCTCATGTTTTCTTTTTCACTTTACTAAATTTTAAAAAGATACAAGTATGTACTTCAAATATACAAATGATGAATGTTTAGAGGATATAGGTATTTAAAAAGAAAATAAAAATCATCTACATTCTGGCATGTCCATACTAGCTCCCTTCTAGTGTGCATATTTTAACTTAGCAGCAGGATTAAGGTAAGCGTCAGGGTAAACACCCATCCTCCCTTTCCTCTGCTGTGGGCTCCCATGGAGAGGCAGTAAGCCAGTGCATGGTCTCAGCCCCTGTGGGGTCCCTGGTGACACGTGCCTGGCAGTTGAGGCCTCCTCCACTTGTGTGAAGTTTCAGGGCTCTTTCCCCTGCCCCTGCTCTGCCAGGCCACCTGGGGCCTCCTGAGTGGCAGTGTCCAGCAGAACTAGGGTACCCACAGAGCTGAGGAGAGGGAGAACCATTCTGGAGCAGTCCCCGCAGGGCAGCCTGCATTGGGCCCGTAGAGCATGGCAGGCAGACTCTCAGGCCAGAGTGCAGGTTGGGCAGTCTAGGTCTGAGGTTCTCTTCACCTTGCAGGTCCCTGTAGCCCATTGCTTTGGTCCTCGTGGGCTCTACAAGCGGAAATTCTGTGCTGTCTGCCGCAAGGGCCTGGAGGCACCTGCACTCCGCTGTGAAGGTACCACTGGACTGCCCAGCCTCGGACAGCCCTTCACCCAGGGGCCTGGTCTCTGTCAAACTTGGTGGCCCAGGGATGTGGGAGGGAGGTGCAGGGCTGTCGGGGTGCGAGCCAGTCAGGACACGGTTGGGGTGAAGGGAGCTGGGCACAGGGTGGCAGAGGCTGGGCTGGCTTCAGCCCAAATAGAGGCCTGCAAGGAGTGTGGAGGTGGGGCTGCCGGAGGCCCTAACCCTGCCTGCCCGTAGTGTGTGAGCTGCACATTCACGCCGACTGTGTGCCCTTCGCCTGCAGCGACTGCCGCCAGTGCCACCAGGATGGACACCATGACCATGTGAGTGCATGGGAGCTGGGGCAGGACGGGCAGCTGCGGGGGCAAGTCCCTGACGGCTCCACTTCCCCTAGGATACCTACCACCACCACTGGCGGGAGGGGAACCTGCCCTTGGGCGCACGCTGCGAGGTCTGCAGGAAGACTTGTGGCTCCTCGGATGTGCTAGCTGGTGTGCGCTGCGAATGGTGTGGCATCCAGGTGGGCACACGGGGATGGGCTAGGGCAGTGTGGCCTCCAGCAGGCCCTGGCTCATGCCGGTGTCCCCCAGGCCCACTCGCTGTGCTCTGCGGTGCTGGCCCCTGAGTGTACCTTTGGGCGGCTGCGCTCCATGGTCCTGCCCCCTGCGTGTGTGCGCCTGCTGTCCCGAAATTTCAGCAAGATGCATTGCTTCCGCATTGCTGAGACTGCAGCCCTGGAGCTGGGTGAGCAGTGGAGCAGCCTGGGGATGCAGGGGGCCGAGAGTGGCAGTGAGTACAAAGGCCTGTTCACCCCACAGGTGACGGGGATGATGGTGTGGATGGAAGTGCGGCTTTAGGCCCTGGCAGGGACATGCCAGCAACCCCTGAGTCCAGTAAGCGCCCCTCGTGGCCTCCACTCACCCTCTCGTGCCCAGCCCCCCAGATTTTTAACTGCTCTCCACTGGCCAGGCAAACAGACCCTGAAGATCTTTGATGGCAATGACACCGTAAGGAGAAACCATTTCCACCTGGTCACTGTGCCTCGCCTGGCCAGGAGTGAGGAGGTGCTGGTAAGGAGGGTTCCATGGTGTCAGATCTAGTGCCAGCCATGCCTGGAAACCTGGCCCCCAACTTGTTCCCCTGCTGGCTCCACACTGGACTCCCCCCATACCTGGCTCCCATCTGCTCTCCACTCCTGAACCCTCATCTACTCCCACACCTGGCCCCACCTCCTCCCTACACCTGGTCCCCTACACCTGGCCCCTCTCTCTGTCCTTCACACCTGCCCCCCCAACCCCTCACCCTGCAGGAGGCAGCACTGCGGGCCTACTATGTCAGTGAGGACCCTGGAGACTTTGAGCTTCAGGAGCTGCCCTTGCCCTCGCTGGCTGGTGATGACCAGACCCTAGGGAAGGCTGGAAGTGGTGGCCTGGCTGAGGAAGACAGTGGCAGGGGCTCTGGGTCCCATGAACCTGAGGCCTGGGTCATCCGTGCACGGCCCCGTGCCCAGGAAGTCCTGAAAATCTACCCCGGCTGGCTCAAGTGAGGCCTGAGGCTTGGGGTCTGGGGCAGTGAGGGGAAGAGAGGGGCTGTGGACCAAGCTCTAAGCCTATCCCCAACAGGGTGGGCGTGGCCTATGTGTCCATCCGGGTGACTTCCCAGAGCACGGTGCGCACTGTGGTGCTAGAGGTCCTCCCGTTACTTGGACGCCAGGTGTGTGGGAGTTGCCTGGGGCTACTACCCTGGGGCCAGGCCCTGTCCCCATGGGCATGCTGGGAGGAGAGCATCCCCAGGCCTGACACCCCATACCCCCTGCTGCACAGGCTGAGGATCCTGAGAGCTTCCAGCTGGTGGAGGTGCTCATGGGCAGCAGGCAAGGTGAGCCTGACGTGCCCTCTGACCACTCCTGCTTATGCCCTTGCCCATCTGTGCCCTGGGCCCAGGGCAGCTGTTGCACAGGTGTGGGGGTGCTGATGTCCATGCCTCTCTGCAGTCCAACGGATGGTCCTGGCAGATGAGGAGCCCCTGCTTGAGCGGCTTTGGGACATCCGGCAGGTCAATGGGGTAGACACCAGCCCTGGCAGGAGCCCTGCCCTATCCTCTAGCAGAGCTCGCCCCAGGTCCCCAAGGGGTGGCCCTGCCTTCTCATGGCTTCCTCACAATACCCTATTCTGGAGGGGGCACTGCTGCCCCTGTCCCCATGTTTAGTCCCTTCTCCCCATAGACATCCCTGCGGCAGGCCAGCCAGACACGATTCTATGTGGTGGAGAGCAGGGCCATGGCCCCGCATGTCTCTCTGTTCGTGGGTGGTCTGCCACCCGGCCTGTCTCCTCAAGAGTATGGTGATCTGCTGCATGAGGCCATGACCACCAAAGGTATGACCCTGGGTGGACTGGGCTCAGCTGGGAGGGAGCCGACATGGGCCAGGTCTTCCTACCTTGTCCAGGGATCTGAGTGCCCTCCCTCTGTGGTTACGCCCTAAGGTGCCTACACTCCACTTCTGGAGGTATGGGGACCCAGTTCCAGAGTGGGATTAGGGTTGCCTGGGCTGGGCCACACTGGAGGTGGTGCTGCAGGGGTCAGCCTGGCCTGGGTGCTGGGTACTCTGACCGCCGTCTATCTGTGCAGCTGCCACAGTGTCCGTGAGCCACGTCTACTCCCAAGGTGAGCTGTTGCCCAGCGACATCCCTGGCTGTGAAGCCAAGGCCACGCTTCTCCCTCCTGTGAGCTCAGGTGCCTCTGCTGCAGCTGTGTGCCCAGTGAGGCCCTGGGTTTATGTCCTGGTTTACTTCTGATGCTTTGCTGAAATACACTGAGGCCTGGCTGTTTTTTCTATGACTTACTTGCCCTTTCTTGGTCAGTGACTTTGCCTGGGGTAGATTTCATGTGTACCTGGTCCCTGCTTTTGGGGGCCCACACACCTGTGGCTCCACGTTGGGGGTGAGGGTAGTGGGTGAGGGGCATCCCCTGAACCCGGCCTTCCCTTGACATGCCTCTTGTTGCCGTGCACACCTCCCTCTGGCTGACCTGAGCTGGCTGCAGCCTGGCCTGAGTTGCGGCCCACCTGTTACAGGTGCAGTGGTGCTGGACGTCACTTGCTTTGCTGAGGCCGAGCGGCTATATATGCTGGGGAGGGACACAGCTGTGCATGGCCAGCCACTGACCACACTGGTGCTCCCGGATGTGCTGGTGAGTGGGCAGTTCGGGACAGTGTTCACACCCCCGAGGATATCCACATGCCCATGCAGCTGGGCACAGTCTCAAATGCCATCTTCTTGACCTTGCCAGACTGGTAGGTGGCACCTTGGTCTGCCCTCACAGTAATCCAGGATGGACAAGGCTGCCTACTCTACAACAGAGGGTGGAAGTTAGAGGGTCTGCACTTATCCAAGGCTGCTCAGTGGCGAGACTTGTCCCTTGGGGCCTGCTGACCCTGAGACCTCTAGCCTTTGGGCAGGATACGGGATGCCGCTTCAGGCGGCATCAGTACATCGGATTCCCCAGTGGATACCTTACTAAAGGAGTGTGACCACACTCCCATGTGCTGTTGCCTGTCCTGGTGGCCTTGGGGACCTAACTCTGAGCTTTGGGCCGCTTCTGGCCAACAGGTGGAGCTCCTGACCTTGGAGAGCACTCTTAGGAGCCCGTAGTGCCAGGAAGAGTGGTTGCGCAGTGGGCAGCCTAGGGCAAGGGGCATGGCCCATCGGTACAGCATGTGCAAGGCAACCCGAGAGGTTGCAGCTGGACCCACCCTGTACCTGCACTCTCTGAGCCTCAGTCTGCCCACCTTGAGGGTCCCTGGAGCTAGATGTCCATGGCCGGTCTGCACTGTGACCCCTGTCCTTGAACCTGTTCTGGGAGCAGTATTAGAGCAGAATGAGGCTGGGGTCTGACCCTGGGGCGGTGACACTGGGTCCCTCCTGCCTTTGCCCTGGTCATCCCCTGTGGAGGCAGCCCTGCTAGGCGAGAGGCCGATACTGCTTTCTCTCTCCTGTCAGCTACCCGCCTTGGGGTGAGTGGGTAAGTGGTGGCCGCAGGCAGCCCTGCCTGCCCATGGACCATGCGGCCCTGAGTGTGTCCTTGCCCCAGCCACGGCCCAGCCTGTGTGCCACCATCCACCCTGTGTCTGAACCTGGCCTGTCTGTCTCTCCTTGCCCTACCCTGTCACAAGGACCCCAGCCTGGTCCACCCTGTCTAGACTCCTGGGCCGTTTCTTGGACTTGGGTTGGGGAGATGGGTTTGTCTGATGCCCAGGGGATTGGGCAGCCACCCTGTATGCCCAGCCCTGCCCCTAGTTGTCCAATGGGCAAGGAAACCCTCATTGCTGCTGACCTCCAAAGGGTATAAGGTGGCTCCTCGAGGACAGATGGCTGGAGGTGCCACGCAGGGTCACCTGTGGCTTCCAGCCTGGTAGGTGGGGCCCTTGGTGAGTGTCATGTCATGGTGAGTCTGGCCCTGGCCTTCATGTGTAGAATTCCAGGTGGCTGACAGTCTGGGTAAGACTTTTATGGAAGGTTGTCTTGTGTCCAGTTGTGGGGTGGGCTTAGCGTGTGGCCCCAGGGCCTGGCACATGAGGGTGAAGCCTTGTCTTCCTCAGGAGGGGTGCCCTGGCCTGGGATATTGCGGTCCTGGGCTGGGCACTGCTAGCAGCTGCCACGGAGGACCTCAGGACCTACCCTCACCTGGCCTCCCCTCTCACAGCACACAAAGCTGCCCTCAGACTGCTGCCCCCTCCTCGTGTTTGTGAACCCCAAGAGTGGGGGCCTCAAGGGCCGAGACCTGCTCTGCAGTTTCCGGAAGCTGCTGAACCCTCACCAGGTCTTCGATTTGACCAACGGGGGGCCGCTTCCTGGGTGAGGCACCCCACCCTGACTCCCCAAGTCCTTTGTGTAGCCGGAGACACACTGAAAAGGAAAGGGCTGCCTGGGTCTGGGACATGTGGGCGGGTCCTGATCTTGGACATTGGCAGCCACCCTCCTACCTGCAGTGGGTGCCCTGCACGGTGACAGGAACTCGTCTCCCACCACAGGTTCCACCTCTTTGCCCAGGTGCCCTGCTTCCGGGTGCTAGTGTGTGGCGGTGACGGCACCGTGGGCTGGGTTCTCACTGCCCTGGAGGAGACACGGCACCATCTGGCCTGCCAGGAGCCATCTGTTGCCATCCTGCCTCTGGGCACAGGTGGGGTCAGCCATCAAGTGGAAGGGTCTCAGGGTATCCCTACCTCAAGTTTTGTCCAAGGTGTGTGGTGGGGTCCCTGTCCCATGGTGACATCTCCATTCTGTGGTGGGGTCTCCATCCTGTAGGGAGTCTGTCCCTCCATTTTGAGGTAAGTTCTCTCCGGAGGTGGTATGTGGCAGCACTCAAAGTCTCACCTGTGTTTCAGGGAACGACCTCGGCCGGGTCCTCCGCTGGGGTGCGGGTTACAGTGGAGAGGACCCGTTCTCCATGCTGGTGTCTGTGGATGAGGCGGATGCTGTGCTCATGGACCGCTGGACCATCCTGCTGGATGCTCACAAGGCCGCTGGTATAGACAACAATGTGGTGGATGCAGAGCCCCCCAAGGTACCACGTGGCCCCTGGCCCTTGCCCACAACGCTCCCCTCCTTTAGCCGCACCATGGGGCATGCAGCCTTCTTGGGGTGCTGGGTGGCTGAGCAGGGCAGCCCAGGGAAAAGGCAGCTGTGGCAACAGCAAAGAGCAGGTTTGGAAAGGAGGCAGCCAAACACTAGAGGTGGTGTCCTGGAAGAGCCCTTGTTCCCAGATTGTACAGATGAGTAACTACTGTGGCATTGGCATCGATGCTGAGCTCAGCCTGGACTTCCACCAGGCACGGGAGGAGGAGCCTGGCAAGTTCACCAGCAGGTACCACAGGGTAGGCCGAGAACACCACGCTTGGCCAGGCGCAGCCCCCACCCAGGGATGCTGACTCTCGTGTCTCCTGCAGATTCCACAACAAGGGTGTGTATGTTCGGGTTGGGCTGCAGAAGATCAGCCACTCTCGAGGCCTACACAAGGAGATCCGGCTGCAGGTGGAACAGCGGGAGGTGGAGCTGCCCAGCATCGAGGGCCTCATCTTCATCAATATCCCCAGGTGTGCAGGCCCCCAAGGCTGCACGGGCCAGGGCCTGGGCCTGGCCAGGTGCTGGGCCTGACCCTGGTGCACTTCTCTGTCTCTTGGGGCAGCTGGGGCTCAGGAGCTGACCTCTGGGGCTCTGACAGTGACTCGAGGTTTGAGAAGCCACGAATGGACGATGGGCTGCTGGAGGTGGTGGGCGTAACTGGCGTCGTGCACATGGTGAGCGCTAGGCCATGGGCAGGCTCCTGTGCTACCCCACGGCGCGCTAAACCAGCTTCCCACCCTCCTTGCCAGGGCCAGGTGCAAGGGGGGCTGCGCTCTGGTATCCGCATTGCACAAGGCTCCTACTTCCGTGTCACGCTCCTGAAGGCCACGCCAGTGCAGGTGGATGGTGAGCCCTGGGTCCAAGCCCCAGGACACATGATCATCTCAGCCGCAGGCCCCAAGGTATGTTGGGTGGCTGACTGCCTGGGCAAGGTGGCTGGAGCAGAAGGCCACAGATGAGGGATGGCTGGGGTAGCCTTGCTGCCCAAGTGAGCCTGGGCCACCTGTGAACGGGAGAGCCATGGAAACTGATGTGGGCACTCAGACTTTCAAGCCCTGTGCCCCTCAGTGTAGACATCTGGGCCTCTCAAAGAGGGACTGGGCCAAAGGCATTGTCCAGCAGGTTGTAGTGTCGCCCTGCTTCTAATCCTAAACCCTCTGTGAAGCTGAGCTGAGAGTGGCTGGCTGCCTTTGGACCCAAGGGCTGCAACCTGGTGCCCCCAACTCTCTGATCCATCCTGTCCATTTTGGGACAGGTCCACATGCTGAGGAAGGCCAAGCAGAAGCCCAGGAAGGCTGCAGTCACCAGGGGGGATGCTGCGCCTGCCCCTGAGGGCATTGCTAAGTAAGGGCAGAGAGGTCCAGGTGGTGCTGGAGCCATCCATCTGATGGGACTTGCTACACCCTGCCCATACCATCTTCCTGGGGCCAGGACGGCTCCAGCCCTTGTCCCTGTCCAGTGTCACCTGGAAACCCCTGGGTGGGTGGCAGCCCTGGACAGTCCCAGATGGGAGCACAGGGTTCCTGGCTGGCCTGCCCCTTGGGGCAGCACTGGAACTTGTTTGGTGGCCTCTTGACTTCATCTTATGCCCCTCAGGCTGTCCTCTGAAGCAGCTGTTCAGCCTCCTTCCCCACTGTTGGCAGGTGGCATGCAGCCCTGGTGGCCATGGGGTAACTACCTCCCTGCCTGGCACAGGGAAGGTGCTGTCCCTTGTCTCCGGCCCTGTCACTGCAGCGGGGTTTGGACCAGGGGAGGTGGTTGTGGGTGCTGGGCAGTGCCCAGCCTCCCCTGGGAGAGGAGTCTTCTGTCCACTGAGGCCAGATGGGTTTGGGTGGCTACTGTGCAGCAACCAGAGTGTGGGCTGGGCTCCCCTTGACCCCAGGGGTAGGCATATAGTGCCCAGAGGGGACTAGAAGCAGGGCTTCAAGGTCCAACTGGGTGTATGTGTAAATAACACCTGTCATATGGAGGAGTGGATTTAATGCCCTCATTCTTAAATGTAGCACTTTACATAGCACTATCTGCCAGCAACCTGTGGCTCTTGCACACCAGTGTAGACACAGTTCCCACCCTACCAGGCACCACTGTGGCTGAGCCCAGCTGGGACAGCCTGGCTGGTGTGAATGAAGCCGTTTTAACCGTGCGTAAGAGCTCAGTGTCTCCCCTCAGACGCTGGAGGAATCTGACCAAAAAATAAGCAGCCAGTGTAGAGTCTGCAGAGGCACTCCCCGCAAAGCAAGGGACCTATCAGGTCCAGCTCTTCCCAGCACTCATAGGCACTGGGTTTGCACTACTGAGGGCCTCGTCCTTGGGAGTGGCTGTGACCTGTAGCCTCCAAGGAATCTCTATGCCACAAGGCCATGTCTTTCCCCTGCTTCTGCCAAAGCTGCAGACACATGCATCCCAGATTCCATTGATGGTCTCAGTGGAGCGGTTCTTGTCACTTACCATCTTCAGAACAAGTCCTTAATGGTGTAATTAGTTTTGCTTTGACTTCAACCTGCAGGAATTGTTTGTAAATTGTCAGTATGGTCTGCCTTCTATTTAAGTGAGACTGCCTGCGGGGCTGTGACACTGAGCCCCAGGCCTCTCCTTGTGACTTAATGCTACCTGAATGTGACCTAACTTATACCTGGGACAAATAGAGTTGGGCTTCAGTGTCCTGGAGTGCCCTTCCTTGTTCTTCTGTCCAGTGACTGGGCATGGGGAGGGGCTGGATGGACTGGGAGGCCCCAGTGGGGCGGTGCTGCACATGCTGGCTTTGTGGTCAGCTGAGTTATGGGAAGGAGGTGCCACTCAGCTCCAGGCAAATGGGGTGGGATGGGTAGAGTGGCTGCCTGAAGCCATCCAGACGCAGATCCCAAGGCAGCCTGTTCTAAGTGAGGGAGAGATAGGCGTCCTCCTGGCAGTGTCTGAGTGAGGAGGGAAGCAGAGGATTAAGTTCCTATGCAGGGCAGTGGGCATCCTCCAGACAGATGTTGGCATTTCACAGCGGAGACGAGACCCATGGTGTCGGGTGGGGTGGGCAGGTCGTGGGAGTGGCCTGTGTGCTGCTAGCAGGAAGCAGGCAGGAGCTGGGACTGGGTGTCAGTATCAGCTGCACCGGCCTGGCCTGGTGGGAGGTGTGCTGGCCGCAGGGACTGCAGGCACCGAAGGGCCACCAGGGTGAGGCGCACGAGCAGGCGCAGCAGCAGGAAGGCAAAGGGCACGGAAATCTGCATGAGGTGGAAGATGGCTGTGCTGAACCGGCTCAGGAGGCAGGTGGCAGCAAAGGCCAGCAGGCTGGCACAGGGGTACAAGGCAAGCTTGGCAAACATGAAGGCGTGTTCCTTCCCGCCAAACCTCACTGCTGGCTGTAGTGTCTCCGCCTGGCGCAGCAGGGCCGTGGTCCAGATGGCAAACTGGAAGATACTGGCGAAGAAGATGATGGCGCAGCTGACGCGCACACGCTCGAGCTCATCGTGGGGCTGCCGGGCGAAGGCCGAGGTCTGCTGGTAGGCTAGTGGCAGGCCGCCCACGAAGGCCAGTGAGAGCGTGTTGAGCAGCCCCATGACCTGTGTGGTCTTGCGGACGTGCAGGAAGAGCGAGTGGTGGGCGAACCAGAGCAGGCCCACTGTGGCAAAGGAGCCGAAGTATGCCAGGAAGTGCGGCCCATATTCGCCCAGGGCCGCCACCAGGCTGCCGTGAAACTTCTCCATCACGTCCTTGGGGTTGGGGACGTTGTCCTCGCTGGCAAGCAAGAACACGGGACATCGGAACCAGCTCCCGGCCCAGGTCTGAGTGTCTGAGCATCACAGCGTGCGTTTCACGAGAACGGCTGGACGCTGTGCTCATGTAGAACACCCGTCTAACTGGCACCTGTGGGTTCCTTCTGACCAGCAGCCCTAAGGCAGGGTCAGCCCTCAGGTGGGTGGCTGGTGAGCCCGGGCCCGCCCTGCCTCTGTATCCCTCTGAGAGGTATGAGCAAGACCTAGGAACCACCTGCTAGGTAGCTGGTCCTCTGGTAACACATCTAGGGTGGGTACCACGAGCAGTACCTTTTATCAGCTGGGTGTGGAGGCGGGTGGGAGAAGGGCTGATGGCACACAGAAGGGGGCTGAATCCTGCAGGTGCCACGCTATCCAAGGACCCCTCCCTGGCACTCCAGCCCCAAACCACCCTGCCTCCACACCGTGGGGGCCCTGCCCTCCTTGAAATGGGGCCACCACCTCCTGCGATGCTCTGGGTCCTCAAAGGGGGTTGGAGACAGATGGCAGGCACCTGGAAGGTGGGTAGGGAAGCCACTAGTGGGGTCCTCACCAGATGTCCAGGATGAGCAGTGTGGCCACGATGGCGTAGACACCATCGCTGAAGGCTTCCACCCGCTCCTTGCTGAGGGGCTCTTGCAGGTCAAAGGTGAAGAACTCCACACCATGGTCTGGGGGCTGCCTCAGGCCTGTGGATGTGCCAGGAGGGAGGAGCTGCCACAGTCCGAGGCTGTGGGGCCATCGTGGCCATCACTACCCCCGTCCCCAAAGACTGGGTTGTGTAGGCCAGGAAAGGAGATGGGCAGGATGCTGAGAGTCGGGGCAGCCAGCCAGGGTCACCATGACGTGTGCCCAGCCCCGCACCCAATGTCCTCAGGGACCGCAGGGCCTACCCACGAGCCTGCCTCTGCACCAGCCGGCAGCCTTGCTGATATAGGGAAGGAAGATGACGGTCACCATCAGGAGGTACGACTGCGGCGAAACATGGGAAGTCAGCGACTGCTCCCACCCCACGGTGGCCATGCACCCTGGGACCCAGGCACTGCTCCAGGGGAGGACCGGCCGGAAAGACAAAGGAAAGACAAAGGTACTGCCTTTGGTGGGTATACAGAACCCCAAGTCAAGGACGCCATGCTGAGCATAAGGGTACCCATAGAGAAAGTGAGAGCTTGCTGCGAATACACAAGGAGCCGTTACAACTCAACACGTGACCAGCGCTCAGCTGTACACAGCAGAGGACTTGAAGACACGGACACCCAACAGGGAGGGCGCCCAGCATGAGGGATGCTGGAATCAGAGATACTAGGTGTTGGTGAAGATGTGGAGAAAGAAACCTCACAGACTGCTGGTGAGAAGGCAAATAGCGCTGCTACTATGACAAACAACAAGGGTTCTCAAAAAATAAAATGGGAAGGACCACATGAAACAGCAGGCCCACTGCTGGGCGTGTGCCCCAGGTCTGAAAACAGGTGAAGAGGTGGTGCTCACCCAGGTTCACAGTGGCACTGCTCACAGCGGCCCAAAGTGAAACCCAGTGTCCACGGCAGAGAAGTAACAAACCGAGCGGGTGCGCCCAGGACAGAAGAAAGGGATGAACTCTGACTGCAGCTCAAGGAGGACAACACAGGACCGCACAGCCTCTCCCGTGCACTGCCACCCTCCATGCCTGTCCTCCTCGCTGCCCATCTGCCTGTCTGGGCCTCACCCACTCACCCCACGCTGGCCACTCCGTCCCCACCCGAGGCTTCTGACCAAGGCAACAAGACCAAGAACACCCTGCCCAGCCCGGGTCCTCTTGCCACCTTCTCATGGTCCAGCTCCAGCCTATACTACCACGCTCAGATCCTCCCTCTGCTGTCACTGGCGTAAGATGACATCTCTGAGGCGACCGGGCCACAAAGCTGGCCCCAGACTTCGGCTCACACTGACATCCACCTTCCTTCTTCCCCTCACCAGAGGCCTCCCCACTAGAGTGCTCTGCTCTGCCTGGCCAGGTCTCCAGCAACGACTGCAGAGCCACCTGTGCTCACCAGCCCCTCCTCCACACCTGCAGTCCTCTTGACACCTCCATCAGTATCTTCCCAGGGCGTGGCCCCCGATTAGACCCAGGCAGGTGGACGAGGTTCTCCTTCCGCCCATTGCAGGCCTGGGCTTCCGAGCCTGGGTTGAGCCCTCCCCTGGGATGGTCCCCGCAGCACTCACCATGGGGAAGAAGAAGAGGGAAAAAACAGCTGCAGCGAAGCACAGCGCTGGGCCGCGGAGGACGAGGAGCAGGATGTGCTGCCGGGTCGCAGCTCTGTGGGTGGAGGTGCGGAGCTGCGAGCTCAGCAGGTATGGGAAATGGAAGACGTAGCCTATGATCAGTGCCTGTGGGGGGCCAGTCACCCCTCAGTGCACCCATGCAGGGGCTTGGGTGGAGCCCCAGGTGGGCTGGCACCCAAGGGTGTGCTGGGTGAGGAGAGGGATGGGAACCCCTGCCCTGAGCCTGTGAGGACCTCCAGTCCCAGGTAAGCAGAGCAGGGGCCCTGGGCAGCCTACATCCATGCCCATAGGTGGCCTTGGGCTCTGAAGTAGGGCAGTCAGCAACCCCACATGTGCACCCCACCCTGCCAGCTGACACCCTACCTGCACGGCCCCGATGGTGATCACACACACACAGAACAAGAAGATGCCCAGAGGCACATCAGGGAAGGTCACCATTAAGGAAAACTGTGTCCAAAAGCAAATAAAATCCAAAAGGTTACCAGGTGCCTTGGCCTGGAGCCACACTGTACGCATGAGACTGAACCAGGCTTGGCTGGGGATAGTGGCATGGTACGTGCGTGTGCGCGCGCGCGCGCATGTGTGTGTGTGTGTGTGTGTGTGTGTGTGGGTGCCTTGGCCTGGAGCCACACTGTACGCATGAGACTGAACCAGGCTTGGCTGGGGATAGTGACATGGTACGTGCGTGTGCGCGCGCGCGCGCATGTGTGTGTGTGTGTGTGTGTGTCTGTCTGTCTGTCTGTCTACATACCTGAAGAAGCAATCCCATCCACTGCCTCAGGCCTTAATGTCAAAGTGGCATCAAGTTTACAAAGAATCCCCAGATCTGAATTCTCTGGTACACAGCTGCAAGCCTTCAGTCTGACTGTGAACACCACACTGAGTGTGAGTGTTGGACTGAAAGTGAATGAATGCTCCCTTCCACCCTGGAGGGATGGGGTGGGGCCTCGTGCAGCAAGGCCTGGAAGGAACTGGGGTGTCAGTGACCTCCTCTGTGGTCTCTGTTGGTTTCCTTCCTTCTTTTATACAGGATCTCACTATTGCCCAGGCTGGACTCAGTGATCCTTCTGCCTCAGCCTCCTGAGTAGCTGGGAACACTGTGCCCAGTCCAAGTGGTCTGCCTGCACCTACTCACCACCCTCGCCTTCCCCTCCTTGCAGCTCTGTGGCCCCAGCCTTGAACTAGCTCCCTGGCCTGCATTTCTGTGTGGGGATGGGGAGCCAGCCATTACCGTGTAAGGCAGGAGGGTGATGGTCATCATGCAGGCCTAGAGAGGGGGGAGAGAGGAAGGTCAGGGCCAGGTGGCCTGGGATGGGAGCACTGCAAGACAGTGTCAGGTGCCCACAGCTCAGGATGGACAGCTTGGGGACTCTCCTTGGCCTCCCCGGGAAGACGTGGGCCGAGATGGTGGCAGCACCTGGTGGGGTTGGTGGGAGCTTCCAGGGCCTGAGGAGCCAGAAGCTATGAGGGAAACACATGGCCATGTCTCTAAGTCCTCCAGGGAAGGTCACATTACAAACCAACGTCATTTGCAAAAGGACATGAAAAACTCACCAGGTTGAGCAAGGCAAGTGTATCGTCTATTTTCCCAACAACCTGAAACAACCTGCACAAGGTAAGAACAGGAAGAGGGGCCATCGGTCAGAGGCGGTGCCAACAGGATCAAGCAAACGCTGTCATGGGCATTCCTGGTTACACTGTTACTAAAGGATGTCTGCCACTGTGCTAAATCCCTGGCCTCCAAGATGTCACTCTTGACCAAATATAAAGCACTAGTTAGCAAATGAGGTTCACAAAATTCAAAGTTGACACAACTTCCCTATAAAGCACCTTTTCATTCCACATGTTCTGTCATTTTGCTCACAGTTTAAAGCATGTGGCTGACAAAATCACTGCAGACACACGTGTACACTGGGTAGCCCTGGGCATGGTGTTTCCAAAGCGCCCCTGGAGTAGGCTCATCCTGTGGGACCAGGGCCTGGGGAGTCGAGCTGCAGGCAGAGCCAGGAGAGGCATGGGAAGCTGGGCCGGCCCAAAGGTGCTTAGGACTGTCCTCCGGCTGTTTGGGGGTGCATGTACCTAAGGCTCCAATCTGGCCCCTGCCCCAGGGTTTCCCTGCCAAGGACAGCCCTGGCTCAAGGCATGTGTGCTTGGGGCTCATTCAGGCCTCAGCCTTCAATGAAAGCCAAATGGGGCCACCACCTGGGAGCCAGGAGCTCTGCTAGTGTCCTGCTGAGTGCCATGACTATGCTCACAGGCCAGCATACTGGAAAGGGAGGGAACACAGAACAGCTCCACAAAGCCCCTCCCTCCGGGGCCCGGGCCCTGCACTCTTTCTGATGACAGACTGAGCAAGCCACGAAGCTGGCCAGAGCAGTCGTCCAGGGCCCGCAGCCAGCCACACAGCACTACCAGCCCATAAGCCTCCCAGACACACAGAAAAGCCCTCCTGAGATCTGAACATGGGGCACCAGGGGCACCGCCAGAAACAGTCACTCTGCTGAGAACAGTATGTGATGCAAAATGTGTGGCATTTTTTAGCACAGTGCAAATACTTAGCAAGATCTGTAGCCTTTTCTGCTCCCTAGCACTGCCCAACAAGCACTTCCTTTTTACAGACTAACTGCAGATATACACATCTACACTACCTCTGGGGCTTCCTGACACTGCTTGCTGAGGTAGTTGGGGCCCCTGATCTTGAAGATACTTTTCCTCCCAGCTTCCCAGGGAGTGGGACAGGGTAGGCACTAACAGGGCCCTGGCCCTGCCAACACGGCTCACCCCCTCCTGACTGCTGCCGTCCTAGCAGAGTGCCCCTGGCTGTCACACCTGTCAGGTGAGAAGCCCAGCAGAAGGTGCTGAGTGGTTCAGAATAAGGCCTGCCAGGGCACATGCATGTCCCCTCCACTGTCCCAGGACAGGGCTCAGCAAGAAGTTGGGGAGAGGGCGAGAAGGAGTGATCTGTTACCCCAGCCCTTTAGAGAAGCATGTGATAAAGCGCAGGGCCCCTGAGAACAGGGCCCTGTGTGGGTCTGGTAAGTCCGAACAGTGAGCACTTCACCTTGGACAGGCCCAGCCCTACCTGATGTGTGCCGCCCAGGCCACCGTCACAATTAGAAATGTCATCAGGTAGACAGCAATCCTGGTGGCTAGAAGTTTCTGCATACTTTTGTCAAACTCCTGGAATAAAAGAGCACTGCTGTGAGAACACAGTGACCCTCTCACATGGCCCAGTGTTTGGTTACCCTCTCCCTCACCCGACCCCGAGTCATTGCTGCACTGCTGGGCAGTTCTCAGCAGAGGTCCATGTTCCAGAGGTCCTTCAGCACCAGCTCCAGGGCAGAACCAGGGATACAGATGAGCCATGAGTAAGCAGGCAGAGAAAGCGGGCTGGTCCTCACGTGGCAGGAGGGGCTAAGGAGCAATGGGCCTAGCTGCTCTTCAGAAGGTCACTAATCCCCTCCCACGTTGTCACCCTAAAGTTTGATTTCCGATGTGTGAATGTGGGAGAAACAAGGACACTGACAGCACAGCAGGGTCAGCCCTGACATTGCCCAGCAAAGTGGTCTCACACAGCATGGGGCAAGGTGCCCACAGAAACCTATGGGACTGCAGGTAGTGTCTGCCTGCCTGCCACAGGCAACACATCAACTCACAGGAGTGGAGGCCGTGGAGGGGCTCCCTCAGCACAGTGCTCAGCCTTCACCTCCGAGAAGGCCCCGACTTGAGCTAATGGCTCCTAAGCACCTTGGTCCATGTGCACGTTGGTCTGAGGCAGCTAGACCGCAGCAGCAGTGCTGCTGCTCTCCAAATACCATCATGCTTCCTTATCTGTGGATGTTCAAGGCTGAATGGTCTTCTTTTATTTTTGCCCCTAGTACCGGGGATTGAACCCAGGGCCTCATACACACTAAGCAATCTGTCACTCAGCCATGTCCCAGCCCCCCTACACTTTTTTTGTACCAGGGATTGAACTCGGGACCTTGCGCTTGCAAGTCAGGTGGCAGCACCACTGAGCTACATCCCCAGCCCATCATCTTTTTTTATTTTTAGAGACAGGGTCTTGTTATGTAGTTCAGGCTGGCCTTGAATTCACTATGTAGGCCAGGCTGGCCTCAAACTCATGGCAATCCTCCTGCCTCAGCCTCCCAAATGCTGGGATTACAGGCGTGCGCTCCATCACAGGAGGTGCCAGCTGTTTGACACTCCCTCGGGAGGTTGCCAGGCCTCATCCTTCCTCTGGATGTGTCCCGTGAACTTGTAGGAATTTCCTGAGAACCAGTTAGGACCAAGAGAAACCACCAAAGAGTCTGAGTCTCTGAGATGAGGCTGATGCAGGAAGGTGAGCTGTCCCACCATGTGAGCAGTACCAAGGGGGCAGCACATCCTCACTTGGGCCTCTCACAGCCTCAGGAGTGCGCTCCCAGAAGCCCACCCTAAGCCCATGGTGAGGTGTGTGCCTCACGACACTTGGACTTGCCCACTGCAGGCTCCCCAGGCTCCACACCCTTCAGAGCCACTTTGCTGTAAATCATGGTTGCTTCAGGCTGCTATGGGCCCTGCACCAGCCTGGATGCACCCTGTGTAGAGTACTGGGTATCCCCATCAGCCCACTCAGCCCCCAGACCTCAGCGTGGTACCCTTGCTGCTCTATGTTGCACGGTGCCTTGGTCATGCAGGGGGCAAGCATGGCACAGGTGTGTACCCAAGCACCTCCCAAAGGCAGAGCCACATGCATTGCTCTGATTCAGAAATGCCCCCAGCAAGCTCTCCATGGACAGAGATGCTCTTAGACGTCCTTTCCATCTCCCTCCCAGGCTGGCAGGCACAGGGGCCAAGGCAGCTCCCCCATCCCAGCTACGTCCCTCTTAGCAGAAGTCCGCCTCTGCCCACAGCACCACCAAACCTACCCCAGCCTACCCCATTACCTGCTCCGGGGAGATCTCTGTGTGCGTCACAGGCAAGATCTGCAGGAACAATGACAGAGGGACAGAGACACTTCTTGGCTAAGCAACCTTGGAGGCAGTGGTACTGGGGCTCAGGGCGCATGCTAGCTGCTCCAACCCATCTGAGGAGCTGGGAAACCGGAGGGTTCTGTGAGGGCAGGGGTGAGCTGAGGCAGACCCCACACTGACCATGACGGTGGCGATGATGGACAGCAGCGCATCGCTAAAGCCCAGCATGCGGTGGGAGCTCTGGGTCCCCTCCTTGGCATCTTCATCCCTCCTGCCCAGGGGCGAGTCTCTCTGGGCATCTGGCACCTGCCCTGTGCTCTGAGGCCCAGACATGGTGAGTTCGCTGCCGGTGGTCACAGAAGCCTGGGAGGGAGCACAGCTCTGAATGTGGAGTGGTGCACTGCAGGGGGTCGCATCCCTGGGTTTCTTCCATGAGGATGGCAGCTGGGCATGGGGAGCAGGTGAGGGACACTTCCATAGCAGCCCCTCCAGACTTTGTAGCCTCCAGGCTAAGAGTGCCAGCATCAGGCTGCACAGCTGAATTCTGTGATCAGGGCAAGAGACTCGCTGTGGCCTAGTTTCCCTAGAGAGGCTAGCAGTGAAGGAGGGCAAGTGCTCCACACACCGCGTCACCAAAAAGGATCCCAAGTCTCTGGGCTCAATGCCAGGCTCTGCCCAGAAGATGCTTTTGTCCCAGACAAGGAGACAGAGCATGGTGCTCTGGGGCCAGTTTAGAGCCACCCAGGGTGAGCAGCACACAGCACATGCCCTGTGGCTGCCCTGGCTCACGGATCCTGGGTGATTTCCATGTCCAGCACAGGCCTGCAAAGACACAGGATGCCTGGCAGGCTGAGCCCCAGGCAGGAGAGATACCTGTGTTCAGGTGCAAAGAACCAAGTGCAGTCAAGGTGGCTGGCAGAAGCTGGCTGCGTGGGGCTGAGGGATACAAGATGGTCCGGCAGCTGCAGGGCATGAAACAGGGCTCCACTAGGTAGTGTGTGCTGAGCCCCATGTGCAGCCAGGGGAGGGGGAAGAGTGTGGTGGGGTTACTGCTCAAGCGGCGACAGAGTGGACAGGTGGCAGTGGTGGGGTCTGGCAGTACAGGGTGGGAGCGGACTGGGAGGCAGCCCCCGCAAGGTGGAGGAGGGTTGAGGGTGCAGAGGAGATGGGTCTCTTCTGCCCTTCCTGACACGGAAAGCTGCCTGTGGACTGTGGGCTGAGGAGGAAGGCAGTGCCTGCAGGGGGAAATGTGGGGCTACAGCAGGTAGGCAGGAAGCTGGGGTTGCCAGACAGAGGTCCTGGGCACAGGCTGCCTGTGCCACTGACGAGGGGTGGGAGCAGCATAGGACACCCAGGGAGGGTGGCTTCCAGAATGGTGGGTATGCTTGCCAGACAAGAAGATGGCTCACTCTGGCCCAAGAGGGGAGTGGACAAGGTCATGGAACCCAGCCAAGATGACATCCCAGAAATCCCACCCCCAAAAGAGTAAAGGAAGCTTCCAGTAATTTCCAGAGAGGAAAACAAACTGTGAATAAATACATAAGCTACCAGGTGTGGGACTGTAGCTCAGTGGTAGGTAGCTGGCCTTGGATGTACAGAGCTCCAACACTGCAAAAAAGGTAGAAAAAGACTCAATTTTACGAGCAATCGGGGAGACTCAAGTGAAACCAGAGACACCAGTTAGATGGCAAGAGTCCTGTAGAGTGGGCTAGGATGAGAGGCAGGGGACACCTGGGCATCAGGAACAATTAGCAACAGCTCTAAGGTTGGGTTGAGCATAGCCACAGGGCAGCAAGCAGCTAGGGTCTGTGAGGAAGCAAGACTCCTTAAAAGACTGAGCAATTCTGAAACCACTGTGTACCAGTGAGGAGGTAAACACAGATCCAAAGGGGTGAAACCAAAACAGTGCTGAGAAGAGAAACATAAGCTGCAAGGTGACACAGCTAGTACATGCCATCTACATCCTTCAAGGCAATGCAACAAACTTTAGAACACAAAACAGGAACCCAACAGGCTAACTCCAGACAACACATGGGATGAAGGGAGGAGGGAGCATGTGGGTCTCTAATTCTCACTCAGTCATAATCAGTCCTCTGGGGCACTATTTTGTGTTTCAAAGTCCCCTAAGAAAATTAAGACAGCCCTCGTGTGGTGGTGAGCACCTGCAATCTCAGCTACTTAGGAGGCTGAGGCAGGAGGATGGATCACTTGAACCCTGGAGTCTGAGAACAGCCTTGGCAACATAGCAAGTCTCCATGTAAAACATGACAAAAAACGATAGTCCATAGAATGGGAAACAGTATTTGCAAGTCATGGATCTGGTAAGGGTTCGGCATCTAATATCAAATTTTATTTTGTTTGTTTTTTGTTTTTGGTACCGGAGATCGAACTCGGGTCCTTGCACTTGCGAGGCAGGTGGTGGAACCACTGAACCAAATCCCAGGACCCCTAAAATCAAATTTTAGTAAGAAATAATGCAATTCAAAAATGAACAAAAGGAGAAAAAAAAATGGACAAAAGGGCCAGGGATTTAGCTCAGTGGTTCCACTGCTTGCCTCCCAAGAGCAAGTTCAATCCATAGAACCCAAATAGGATGGTTACATTTTTTTGGTTTTGTTTTTGGTACCAGGGATAGAACTTGGGTCCTTGTGCTTGTGATGGTAAATTTTATGTGTATTTTATGTGTATTTTACCACAAACACAGCATAACCTAATGCTTGGCATTTCAATATCCAAGACACGTCAGCTAAAAAGTCTGTGAGACCCCAATGAAGGAAAGGAGACAAGACTAAGGAGAAGGATGGAGTGGCGTGACAATGTTACTATCACGGGAGGATTTCCAGTGCTGACGGACGTAAGAAGGAGAACCTGGAAATTTGTGAGAGGACACGGGCGAGGCTTTGATTCCATTGTAGACATACTGTACAGCATGCAAGGCTCGGACCCAGACATGGGCAGGACACACATCCAACAGTGTGCAGTCACCAGACAAGACACCCTGGGAAGGGACAGGGAGGGACGGCGTCTGGGAAAGTCTGCACGCAGGGACAGGAAGAGGAAGAGACAGCTACCAAGCCTGTCCTCAGCACCACGCACTGTCCCTACAGTTTCATGTCACGTGATGCTGTGAGAACTGCCGAATGGCAAGGAGGAACTCTGGGTGTGTGCTGTGTCTGAGCCTGGCATGCAGCAAAGTGCACGGGGCTCGAGAAGGTCACAGCACAGGGCTCAGGCCCGGAGGCAGACCTGAGGAAGCTAGGTCTACACTGCGGGGCATCCTGTACCCCTGCTGGAGTCTGGACGCAACCCCACCGATGAAGGAGACTCCACAGCCTTTCCTTTATGCTGATTCCAGATACAATGCTACACTTGATCTTAGCCAAACAGCGGAGAAGCGATCCAGACACAGTTCTATTACCATATATGCAATTTGCAATTAGGTTCTCCCACTCTGCTGGGCTTCCTTCTCATTTCCTCAACAATTTCTGTTTTGTCTTGTGGTGCTAGGGATTGAACCCAGGGCCTTAAGCATGTAGGGAAGAGCTTCTCCCCTGAGCTTCACCCCTAACCCTCAACAGTGGATTTTTTGTTTGTTTGTTTGTTTTTTGAGACAGGGTCTCACTATGTAGTGGAGACTGATCTGGAACTCACTATGCAGCCCAGGCTGGTCTCGAACTCACAGTGATCCTCCTGCCTCAGCCTCCCGAGTGCTGGGATTACAAGCGTGCACCACCACGGCCAGTTTCAACAGTGGATTTTTTAAAAATTAGAAGACTATTTAAAAAGCAGTCTTAGGTTCACAGAAAACCCAAGCAGCAGGTATAGTTCCTTTACAGCCCTTTGCACTTCCATGTAGCCATCATGGACGCTTTGCATAGTGATGATCCAAGGCTGACACATCACTATGAACGCATGACCAAGGGCACTGGGGTTCACACACTTAGGTAGGTGATTAGGGGGTTCAGAACAGCATGCTCTGCCACTTATAGTAAGGAAACACACAAAGATGTCAACGTGTCAACACATTTATGATCACTGGTGAGGTCTTAGATCTCGAGCCACCCTCAGAGCACAGGGACGTCCCACGGTCATGCATCACGCACACTCCTTTGCACATCCGGCCAGTTGGCCATCTTTCCACAGCAGGCACACAGCATTCCTTATGCCATGGCCTATACCCAATGATACCAGCAAAGGGAGTGTACTTTACAGTTTCCCCTTGGGCCGACAGCTGACTAAGATTCTTACATGACTGGGGCCTCAGAGGAACTCTGACCTCTTCAAAGGACAAGGAAAGCAGTTTTGAGGTATCAACATTTCAGACACTGATGAACATCATTATCACCTGAATTCCCCGACCCCAGGAATCACCTCTCTGTGCATAAAAGGCATCCAGACACACACTTGTGCCTGACACTGTGGCCTTCTTGCCCAAAGGCCTCTTTCTTTTTATAAACTCTGCAATAAACTCCACCCAGACCCATATGGCCCGGGTGTCTTGGCTGAATTCTATGGAGGACAGAAAGAACTGAGGACCAAGGATATGAGGGGCTGATTCCTCACTGTCTCAAGACCTGGCTTCCAGTGACAACACTGTTGTACACTCTGCCGGGTCTGAGAAATGTAGAGCAGGCATCCGTTACCATAGAATAGCTTCCTGGCCTAAAAAGGCTCCACGCTCCCACTCTTCCTCCTCCAATCCCTGGTCTCCAGTCTGTCTTTTCCAGTGTTGTACAATGATCAGTATGCAGCTTTTCACTTAGTGATGTACATTTGGGTCTCCTGAAGTCCTTTTGTGTCTTGCCAGCTCAATGACTTGTCACCGGATAATATTCCATTTTATGGACAGTATCAGTTTATCCATTCACCTTCTCTACCTGTTGGCCACTTTCAAGTGTACTTTGAAGTTCTTAATTTTAACTTTTATTATTTATTTTGTGATACCAGGGATTAAACCTAAGGCCTTCACACTGAGCTACATCCTTAGCCCTTTTTTAAAAATTCTGAGACAGAGTCTAAGTTAAGCTGCCTAAGCTGGGATTAAACCTGTGATCCTTCTGCCTCAGCCTCTCAGAGTGCTGGACTGCAGGTATGCACCAAGCTTGGCTAAAGTGTGTAATTTTGATGAAGTCCAGTTTATCTCCTCTGTTGGTCATAATTTCGTGTTACATTTTAATAGATTTTTTTTTTTTTTTGTACCGGGGATAGAACTCAGGATGTTGTGCTTGCAAGGCAGGTGCAGTGCTGCTGAGCTAAATTCCCGGCCCTCAGTAATTCTTTTGTAGTTTTCAATGTGTAAGTCTTGCCCATCTTTTTTTCAACTTTATTCCTACTCCTTCACTTTTTTTGGGGGGTACTGGGGATCGAACTCGGGACCTTGCGCTTGCAAGACAGGCGGTGGAACCACTGAGCTAAATCCCCAGCTGTAGTCTTTCACTTTTTGATGCTTTGTAAATGATATTTTTTTCTATTTTCAACTCCCAATATGTTGCTAGTGTACAGCAACAGAATTGATTTTTGCACATTTATCTTGTACCCTGCAACCTTGCAAAACTCATTGGATCTACTATCTCTTTCCTGTAGATTACACTTGACTTTTGAAATGGAGCAAATGCTCTCAACTGTGGGTGATTCTGCCTCCCTAGGGGAGGCAAACATTTGGAAATGTCTGGAGACATTTTTGATTGTTATAGGTGGTGAGCATGTGACCGGGGGTGGCAAGAACTGCCTCTCCTAACACAGAGGGCAACACTTCCCACCAGCACATAAGAATGATCTATCCCAGAGAGCTGTCAGGGCTGAAGAACCCTGGCACATCACGTCATCTCAAACTAAAGTTATTTTCAAGATGAACGTTGTTCCTGTTTCTTGCCTCATTACACTGGTTACAATTTCCAGTTCAATACCGAGTACAAGTAGTGACACCAGACAACCTCGGTTTCTTAATCTTACAGGTAAAACATTCAGTCTTTCATTATTCTGTATGAGGATAGCTATGCTTTTCATAGATACTCCTACCATGCTGAGAAAATGTAATTTTACTCCTAGTCCGCTGTTGTTTTGAACTCAGGAATGGATGTTGGATTTTATCAAATGCTTTTTAAAATAGCTCTTGAGAGGATCTTTTTGTTGTTTGGTTTGTTTGACACAGGGTATCACAGTCTAGCTCAAGCTGCCCTGGAACTCACAGCAATCCTGCCTCAGCCTCCCAAGTGCTGAGATTACAGAGGTGCACCACAACACCTGGTCTGATAGATTTTGTTGTATTTTTTCACTCTTAACTGTAAATTGCACTGTTTATTTTTTAAATACAAAGCCAACTTTACATTCCTGGGACAAATCCCAACTGGTTGTCACACAATACAGATTTGAGTTTTTCAAATTTTTGAATATTTGCATGCACTTTATCAGCTGATCAGTTGGAACTCAGAAGTTTTGGATTTGGGAACATTCTGTGTATTTGGATTAGGGATGCTCAAACCGTAGTGTTGGATTTCATTTGCTAAAAAATATTTTAGAAGAATTTTTTGTTACCTATGTTCATGATGTTAGTCTATAGTTTTGTCATTATGAATGAGTTGGGAAATTATTTCCTTCCTTCAATTTTCTGTAAAAGTTTACATAGGATTGGCATTATTTTTTAAATGTTTGGTGGGATTCCCAGGGCAGAGGTTAAGTTGGAGTCTCCAAGAGATTTTTTTTTTTTAGATAGGGTCTCACTATGTAGTGCAGGATATCCTTGAATTTACTATGTAGCCTGAAACTCATGGTGATCCTCCTGCTTCAGCCTCCTAAATACTGGAATTACAGGCAAATACCACCACACTCAGCCTTCAAAGGAAGATTTTAAACTATAAATTTAATATTTAATAGGTAGAGAGCTATGGAAGTTACCTATTTTTACATAATATACAAATTTTATTTAAAAGAAATAAAAAGGAAGTTATCAATTTCTTGAGTGAACTGAAGTAATTTGTGCTTTCAATGAATTAATTCATTTAGCCTAAACTGAACTTATTGGCAGAATGACACTGTAACATTCCATCTTCTCAGTAGTGTTAAATCTCATTCTCAATAGTGGTAATTTTTATCTTTTCTATTTCTTGTTCAATGTGGCCAGACTGTCAGTGTTACTGATCACAAGGAATCAGCTTCGTTTCACTGATTTTTTTGTTTTCTACTTCACTGAATTGCACTTTTATTATACTTTCTTACACTTACTTTGGGCTTCATTAGCTTTTCTCCTTGTTTCTTAAAACACTGTTTGCTGATATGAAACCTTTTAGTAATTTTGAAATATTGTATTTGCATTTCTAAATACTATTTTCTCTTTTATTTCTTCTTTGACCAAAAGGGAATTTAAAAGTGAGCTCTCAATCTCCAAGTATTCAGAGGATTTTTGATCTGTTATTAATTTCTAATTTAATTCACTGTGGTCAGTGAACATACTTGATAACCCTAAATGACCTAGCTTAGTAAATGTTCTTTATGCTCTGGGGGAAAAATGTGTATTCTGCTATCATTGTAGGAACTGTTCTACAAATGCTCATTAGTTTAAGTTAGTTGATAACGTTTGAGTCTACTATATGCTCAGTTGATTTTCTAGGTACCTGTCATATCATTTAGTTTGTTTTTTGAGTCAGGGTCTCCCTGTATAGTTCAGGATGACCTTGAACTCATTATGGATGGGATGACAAGCATGTGCCACCATGCCTGGCTCTATCATATCATCTATTAACAAAGGAATATCCTCCAACTCTCTTAACCTCCAATTATGACTTGGGTATTTCTCCCTGTAGTTCTTTTAGTTTGTGTATTTCAGAACTTTGTTGTTAGGTGCAAATTTAGGATTGGTATATTCTTTTGATGAATTCATCATTATGAAATAATTCTCTTAAACTTGCTATGACATCTACTACAGGGGAATCAAGACTATAGATATGTGTATATACGTGTGGTGAGACACCTAAGAGTTCAGGAAAGAAGAGTAGAGATGCAGATTTTGGTTGAGATGGTGCTGATATGTATTTACTGTAATGCCAGCAAAAATGCTTTTTAAATATTTATAAAGATATCTGAGTAGGTTCTGGGTTCCAAAGGAATTACAGAACTTAGAAACCTCTACTTGGTCCTAGGTCAGGCAGTATGAGTTCAAGGCTACAAATTCTATCATGCTTTCTAGTGAGTTGTTCAGGTTTACTTGCTGTTTTAAGTCTCTTCCTCAATACACAAGCCTTAGGAATCCGGTCTTCCCCGTTCTTTCAGCAGATGCCTTTTTTTTCCTTATCAGAAACCAGAAGTCACCAGAATTCCTTGTTTCATTCCAATAATAACAAAAAGTAACCTGCAACTGCAAGCCATTTTTCCTCCTTCCTTTCTATTCAAAGAAAGTCCTTTTCCTATGCCCAAAGCAAACACCCTCGTGTGCACTTAGATCAAACTGCTCTTTGTGAGGCGCCCTTGAGCTCGCTGTCTCTAAGTCCAGTGTACATCTTTTTATCCTTTTGCTATTTGACTTTTAAAATAGCGGGTGTTAATTTGCCTTAAGAGATATTTTTAAAGCTTGAAATCCTGGGAAGCTAGGGCTTTAGAATCCAGTCGGCAGGCGCAGAGCTGCGTCTTACCTGGAGGGGGAAGCTCTGGGTGGCTGCTGGCAAGCGGGGCTCTGTATCCTATGTCGCTAGATACGACTCTGCCACACAAGCTAGAGAACTGGGCTTGTTAACGTTTAAACTTTCAGCCTTTCAACAGTAGCGACGAGTTCATTTTCAGCTCCCACCCCGGGCGGGATGAGAAGTAAACACCCGCGGGGGCAGGTCACCTAAGGGGCATCCCCGGAGACCGGCGTTAGGAGCCCTCAGGCTGCCCAGGCCTCCCTTTACCTTGGGGCGTCAGCGCCAGCAGCCTCGGCTCCAAGCAGTCCGTGGCGCGGCCCGGGCGGAGGCGACAGTTAAACAGCGCTGCGCGCCCAACGCCCGCGACGTCAGCGCCACCGAG